CTTTCTCCCTTCCTTTCTCTCTGAAAATCAATGAGCCTGTTCTCGGGTGAGGATTAAAAATAAAATAAAATAAAATAAAATAAAATAAATAAAATAAATAAAATAAAATAAAATAAAATAAACAGACTAAGGGATATAACCTTGCAGAGATCAGAGAAAGACTATGTTGATTCTAATTACTCAGAGGTCTTTTAAATGCTATGCCTGCAGTGTTTCTATCTCCCATTACCACCACTGCTCATTTTTGTTTCTCCCTTTTCTCAACCAATCTCCCAGTACTTCCATGGATCATGGCAGCTTCCCTGAGCACAGGCATAATGTACTCCTAAATGTTTGGGTTTTTCTTCTTTATTCTCTTTTATCTCATGTCCCTCCAAAAGTAAATGTCAGTCTATAAGGCAGAGAAACACAAAAACAGGATTTGCCTACTCACAAAAGCCAAAGAACATGACAACTGATTGCAAGCAAGAAAACACTAACATCTGCTAGACTTATAGCTCTTAAAATGCTATTTCTGAAAATCGTATTTCATTTGTGTAAACATCACACCACAGCTATTTTATTGTTGTTGAATTTGAGGGACTATTTCTAAGAATGTATTTCTTAGAAAAAAGAGACATAGGTCATACTTTGATTGTAGCTTCTTCAATGAAAACAAGTGATGTCTGTATCTTTAAGCTTAATATTTCTCTTGCCCCCGAGTGAGAAATCCTCAGGGCCAGTGACCTCCTTTCCTGGGTCTGATCAACTGAACTCTCTTTCCAGGGACCAAGTGCTCACCAGGGCCAGGGCCCCACTCTGGGCTGACTACTTTCCTCTTCAGAGAGTTTTCCTATCTTCTCATCCCCATGCCATCTTTGTGTGTTAGCAATATATTTTATGACATGATTAACTGTAGTCATATTGGTGTGTCCACTTTCTGCAAATCTCTCTCTTACCTCACTGACTTTTTGTGTTTATGTATTTCCATTTCTACCAGTTTGGGTCCTTCTTTCATTTTATGACCTCTAGTCATATCCCACCTTCTCTCTGAAACCATCCTTGATTATGCAAGCCAGGGTTTTCTTTTTTCCAAGAACACTCGAAGCTGCTTGATTGTCCGGACTTCTCTAACTACCTTGTTATAGAATTATTCATGAGGTAACTTAGAAAATAGTTTAGAGCTATATAAAGGTAAGGTGATATTACCTGTAGTTGTATCTTTCCTTTCCAGATATTTTGTGAGTCCTTGAAGGGCAGAGGTTAAGTTCTCAACCTTATCTATCCTCCAGGTGCTGAGCATCTTTTCGGAGCAGATGATGGGTTATTTCAGGATGGTGGCACCAAGGAAGAGTAAATGGTTGGGGATATCTTCTGTCTCTTCTGGGCTACAGAGGATTACAACTTTCCCACCCTGCAGTGAAACCCCAGCAGAGGTAACAGTGTCATTATTACTTATGCTTGATTCACTAGTGTGCCCCTTCCCTGCAACAAAGACTGTGGAGGAGAACTCAAGTTGAGCCTAGAGGTTACTGACAAGGCACCACAGCTGGCTTGGAGTTTTGCCTGGGCCAGCAGCAGACTTGGCCTCACCAAGAAAGCCTTTGCAATTTAAAGCCACTGACATTTTAAGTTGTTTGTTACTGAAACATAGCTTCACCCATTTCACCATCAGTTATTATTTTAAATGGGTTCTTGGAAATTTAGCACCTCAAAAGAACAAATCTAAACAAAATGGAGCAATTCAGGGTAAGACCAAGGGCTTTGGAGTCAGGCTGACTGGGGTTTGAGCACTGGCTCCCACAATTTACAAGATCTAGGTCCTGAGCTGGCAGTTTTCAAATCTTTTGGTCTCAAGACCCCTTTATACTCTTAAAAATTATTGAGGATCTCAAAAAACTTGTTGTTTCTCCAAAGAACTTTTATGTGGGTCATATCTAGGAATATTTGCTGTATTAGATATAAGATCAAGCTAGCCTATATCATAAAAGAGAAACATGTAAATTGACCATCCCTCCGCTACACTCACCAGCCAATCAGGAGTGAGTATACAAATTAACCTGACAAAGATGTCGGGTTAATTTGCATACACAGATGCTGGGCAGAGAGCAGAGTGGGAGAGCTGGTGGAGAGTGGAGCGGCTTGGTGAAATTGGCTCCCCAAGCCACCAAATGGAGAGCAGAGAGGGAGACCTGGCAGTTTGGAGGACTTGGCAGAGTGGGAGGCCATGGGATGGAGACAGACCAGGAAGGAAAACCAAGATCACGGGAGCACCAGGAATTCTGGGAATAGTAGTTTTGGTGTCAGCCCCAGGACCGGAAGCAGAAGCCCAGTGTGCAGGGAGCACCAGGAATGCTAGGAATCATAGTTCTGGTGGCAGACGGATCTCCTAGATGGATCTCCTAGTCGGCAAACTGTGGCTCGCGAGGCACATGTGGCTCTTTGGCCCCTTGAGTATGGCTCTGCTCTTTATTCATTTATCAATTGAATACCAAAGAGCCGCATATGGCTTGCGAGCGGCAGTTTGCCAACCACGGAACTAGGAGGTCACTGTTCAATTCCCAGTCAGGGCATATGCCCGGGTTGCGGGCTTGATCCCCAGTACGGGGTGTGCTCCTGCTGCAGTCCCTTGCTCGTTCGAAAAATTAAAGGTAAGATATTTTAAAACTTCCAGAAAATCTCCACCAATGAAGCAAAGAAAAAAAAAATTCCTCTATTATTCTGTGAGCAACAAACCAAACTGAGTTGGGGTCTGATAATTTGCTCATATAATTGCAAAGACAGACAGAAACTCCCAGATTGGAGAGGGCTTCCCTGAGGGCTCCCAGATTGGAGAGGGTGCAGGTCGGGCTGAGGACCCCCCGCCCCACACTCCCCAGTGCATGAATGTCATGCACTGAGCCTCTAGTCTATACTAATAAAAGGTTAATATGCTAGTTAGACTGGACATCTTCCGGATGTCATTCCAGACGTCCTTCCTGACAAAGCCAGGGGTGTGCCAGCCTGCAAACTGCCTGAGGTGGTCCCATGCCCAGGCTGACCCCGCCTCCCAGCGGGGACTCCCACCCCGATCAGGGGAATGGCTAGTCTGCAGGCCGCCCGCAGCCCCTCCTCCAGGCTGGCCCCACCCCCCAGTGGGGACCCAATCACAATCAGGGGTGTGGCCAGCCTGAAAACCACTGGTGACCTCTTGCCCAGCCCCGCCTCACCCCCCAGTGGGGACCCCAACCCCAATCGGGGGCATGGCCAGCCTCCAAACCCTATGGCCCCTCGTCCCGGCCGGCCCCATCCCCCAGTGGGGACCCCCCACCCCGATCCAGGGCCCCCTTCAGGGAAGGCCAACCAGCCCCCACCCATGCCTCTATCCTGTATAATAAAAGGGTAATATGCAAATTGACCCTAATGACAGGATGACCACTGGACCAGTCACTGTGAGGTGCACTGACCACCTCTTGGTCCCTTCCCCTGGCCATTAGGCACCTGATGGTGAACAGGGAACCGGGGGTGGGTGGCGGTGGGGGGCGGACTGGCTGCGGGCAGCTGCAGAAGATGGCCCTGATCACAGGCCAGGCCTACGGACCATACTCATGCATGAATTTCATGCACCAGGCCTCTAGTCTATATATATAAAAGGCTTAGCGACTGGCTAACTGGCCGGTATCTATAATGCACAATGACCAACAGGGGGCAGACACTCAATGCAGGAACTGCCAAGCAACAGCAACTTTGCAGAGTGCTCTCTCACACTCCAGGATCCCTCGAGGAATGTCTGACACCTGGTTTTGGCCCGATCCCCACAGGCCAGGCCAAGGGACCCCACCTGCTGGAGGGACCCTGCTCACTCCACAGATGCCCTTGGAGCCCCAGCACTGCCTCAGGTGCAGCTGGCCAGGGAGGGATTGTGAGAGGTTGGCTCCAGGGCAGGTCTGGCCTGTCTCGCCCAGTCTGCCCTGCCAGCCACCTTCTGATTAATTTCCTTTCAATGTGCATGAATCCATGCACCGAGCCTCTAGTTTGAATATATTCATTTATTAACTCATTGAAAATAATAATTAACCTATCACATTAATATACAGCAATGAGCAAAAGTAGGTTTACAGTTGTAAGTACACGAGAGTTTACTCTTATATTATTAACTAGAAGCTCGGTGCACAAAATTCATGCATAGAGGGGCGGTTCCCTCAGCCCAGCCTGCACCCTCTCCAATTGGGGACTCCTTGAGGGATGTCTGACTGCCATTTTAGGCCCGACCCACAATATGGGACCGCTGGCTCCTAACTGCTCACCTGCCTGCCTGCCTGATTGCCCCTAACTGCCTTTGCCTGCCAGCCTGATCACCCCTAACTGTCCTCCCCTGCCGGCCTGGTTGCCCCTAACTGCCTCTGCCTGCCAGCCTGATCTTGCAACCAATGGCCCTCCTCTACTGGCCTGATCTCGCCCCCAACTGCCCTCCTCTGCTGGGCAATTTGGTTCTGATTGGTCGGTTTCTATGCCAGTCAGCGTCAAAAGCTTCACCTGCTAGGCAGCCATTGGCTCCCCACAGCACCTAGATTTGGTTCTGATTGGTCAGTCACTATGCCAGTCAGCATCTCTGGGCCTATCTCTGGGCCTGATCAGAGAGGCAGGGCTGAACAGCAGCCCCCATGGAGGCTGGGAGAGAAAGAAAGGCCCATCTGCTGAAGAAGCCCGGAAAGAAAGAGGGAGAGAAAGAGAGGCAAGTACTGATCAACAGCTGCCACTGAGGCTGTGGATAAGACCCTGCCTCTCCCTCTAAGTCTCATTTCCCTGGGCAGTCAGTGTTGGGTTGCTGTGGCGACCCAGCACTGACTGAAGGACTTCCAGGTTGGTCAGCCTTCGGTCATGATCGGTCATTACGACCCTGGGCTTTTATATATTAGGATTATTGTATTGTTTTCCATACAAACAATTATAAGCCTACTTTTAAACACCCCTGTACTATATTTTTATGAAAAATAAGTTTAGTTTTCAAAAGAAAAAAAAATAGTAAGAGTATCGTTATTTTACATTTTAGTACATTTTTTTATCTGGTTTATAGAAGATGGGTCGATTCTCACATTTGTTTCTTCATTTATCTGTTGGGATCTTGTTTTGGGTGGAGTAAATGAAGAAAATCCAGCTGTACACAGGCACACAATTGGAATGTGGAGGAATATTTTAATAATCTTTTCATATAATTGTGGACATTCATTGACAACCCACCAAAACTCAAGACAATCGGGAGTGTTTTGTTGTTGTTGGTTGTTTTTTTTCCCACTTCTCCAGTCAAGGAAAAGAAGACTTAATTGAGGCCCCAGGGCCACGGGGTTCAGGAAGAAGGCCGCCCTGTGGGCCTGAGGAGGTGGTAGAGGGGCCTTATTTACCCTTCTCTTCAAGTTGTTGGTGTGGCCGCACTTCTTGTGGCAATAGATTGTGCAGGGGTGCAGGTGGCCGCAAAACTTGAGGTAGATTGTCTTGTTGCAGTTGTACTTCTGGGCAAGTTGGCAGAGGGAGAGGTCAATGATGCCACCCTGCAGAGGAAGCACCAAGTGAAGGGTGGACTCTTTCTGAATATTGTAGTTTGAGAGAGTGCAGCCATCCTCCAGCTGTTTGCCCACAAAATCCCTGTCTTGGACTTTAGCTTTAACATTCTCAATGGTGTCACTGGGCTCGATCTTGATGGTGAAGGTCTTGCCAGTCAGGGTCTTCACAAAGATCTGCATCTCTGTGTCTGCTGGGGAGGTTGCTCTGCCTTCTTGAAGAGAGAGAGCCAATTGGGAGTTTCTTAGTTATAATGTAGAATCTGAAGTTACACAGTGAACTTTTGTACCATGTTACCTCAAAATTCATTGGTCTTTCTTTTACTTTGAATGGAACTTTTTAAACACTTTCTTTTACTTTGAATGGAACTTTTTTTTGTAACATCACACATAGGTCACAAAAATATGTGGGTCTTCCAAATGTGGGCTCATTTTGTTACACAAGATTTAAAAAATCACATTTGTAAACATCGCCATTGATTTAATTGAAGTCTTTAAGGATTGAAAAGCTCTTGTTAGCAACACATAACTTCTTTGAGGTGATACATTTGCTTTGTTATCTTTGAAAACATATTAAGTTCTTTTT